ACCAGAACCTGTATTGCAAAGAGAGCTTCTCTGGTACCCACGCCTGCTCGAAAGCCAAACTGGCTGTCACCAAGTTGGTCGTCACACTTCTTCCTTATACGCTCATGAATGATGCTGAGGAATACCTTCAACACTTGGCTCATGAGGCTAATCGTTCGGAAGTCCTCGCATCTCTTCGCATTCGCTTTTTTTGGAAGCGTGACGAACGTTGACTTTAACCAATCATGAGGCAGTTCACCAGAGTCGTATATTGAATTCATGAAATTAACGAGAACCTCGATGTTGTCTTCCTCAATGAGCTTCAATACTTCGATGTTAATATTGTCTGGTCCCGGTGATTTTCCGCGCTTGGCTTTACTCAGAGCTCTTATAATCTCTTCCGGCATAATAGAGTATCCTTCGGTGGTTGTGTTAACTACTTCTTCGTTGCGAGTGTCATCATAAAACAAAGACGTTATATATTGTTCCCATTTTTGTTTTTTCAAAGATATATCTAAGATGGGGATCTGATGTTCGTCTACAAGTTGATTTGTGTGCGTTTTGTGACCCATCAGGGTTTTTATTTCTTTATGTAGATTGAATGCGTCATGTTTTTTATATAGATTTTCTAGACACTCACATTTATGCCGAAACCAAGACTCACGAGCAAAACGAGCTTCTCTTCGTATTGTACGATGTAGCTTTTTATATTTAGTGACATTGGTATGTTTATAAAGTCGTCTTTCTTCCATGAGTTTGTAAATTTTCTCTGTCATCCAGGCTTGTTTAGGTGACCAGTCTCTCTTTAGATAGTCCTTATTAATTTCTAGTATTTTAGCTTTTAGTGACCTCCATGTCTCTTCAGATGAACTAATCGCCTGTGTTTTTATCTCTGCTGCCCATTTGTTTATTTCTACTTTTATTTTAGCTTTAGTATCAGTGTCATTGAATTTTGTTATGTCGGATTTAAAATTTACTGTCTTTTTCTTAATTTTCTTAAGTATACACGATATTGTGGCGATAAGTGGGTTATGGTCCGAACCGATGTCTGCTCCCGGATACGTTTTTGTGTTTTTGATGCTGTTTCTGAAACGTTTGTTTATAGTAATATAGTCAATTTGATTCCTAATTACGTGTTGTGGGCTGTGTCGTGGTGATGTCCAGGTATATAATCTTCGCGGTGGTAGTTGGTAAAAGGTATTCATTACGACTAGGTCACGTTCTTGGCAAAACTGTACAAAGGTCTCTCCTCTTTCATTTCTTGTACCCAAACCGAACTTTCCTGTTACACCTTGTACCTCCACATTTCCTACCTTAGCATTCATATCACCCATAACAAGGTTAACTTCATGTTTTTTTGTTAATTTAAGCAACTGTTCGACTTCGCTATAAAAATCCTGAACTTCTTGATCTGTACCATCAGTGGTGGGAGCATACACTTGAATAATGTTAATATTTCTAGGTTTGGCCTGTAGTTGAAGCAACATGGTACGGTTTGAGTTAGGTAAAAAGCTATACGTAGTATTTAAGGATTTTGTGTTTACAATAATTCCTACTCCATATTTATTTGAGGTGTCATCGGTGCCAGAGTAGTACATAATGTGGTCTTCATCTATCTGGTATTTACCGTTTCCCCTCCATCTAACATCACTGATACCTAATATGTCGATTCTTAAACGTATCATCTCTTTGCATACATTATGGACTTTTTCTGGACTCTTCAAACTTCTCACATTCCATGTTCCTAATCTTAACGTTTTTCCTTCTGTTTTCCGCCTGGGGATTCTTCGCACCCCTGTCCCATTTAAGGGACGCCAGGAACTCGGGGCCATTCTATTCTTCGACTTTTCCATGGATAACTGATTACTAGGGATAATATTATGCAGTGGTCTCCCGTTGCCTTCTGCATTAGACTTTTAAGAAGTTATTTAGCCTTCAAGGCCGCTGTAGCCTCATCCAAATGGTTGTCCACATGGGTGTATGGTTATACCGCCATTGCTCGGTCGCCAGAGCCTCGTCTGTTGTCTAGCAGGGGGTACCGCGGTGGTCAGATGTAGTAGACCACCGCCGTTGGTTGTTTAAAACTACAACCAACGCGCGCAGGTGAGGTTGACAGTTGGGTCGGTTAAGATGTTGTTACCGTTTCCCCTTACCCCCCTATACTATTATAATAAAGCGTAAACACACATTTCTTTGTTGCCTAAGATGTCAGCAATTACAGCATATTTTTGAATAACTCTTTTTTAGTAAAAAGTCCTACACTTACGTCACGCTTTAGGCTATATATTTTCACGCCATTAAACTTAGGGGTAAATATTTTGGATAAAAACCCTAATGTGGGAAAGAGATCATAAGCTGTTGCCAACATCAAGAAAGGAAGATTGCTAAGGTTTGTCATGTCATGTCATTTTTGCAATTTAATTTGACAAATGTAGTTAATGAAGTAATTCATAATTTCATGCGAATGAAGTCGCGCGGGAACAGCTAGTTTTACTAGTAAGGTAGAAGATTAAAGTAGTGATAAAAATTGTAGTTCATTGAACAAAACATGGTTGTAACTCGAATGGCCAGGGAAGGCAAAATGAAGCCATTTTAAAGCTAGCAGCTGTACAAGGAAATTTCACTTAATGCTTCCAATCTGGCCGAGTGCCGAAGTGCTTAAGTCGTTTAGAGCTAGCTTTTTCCAACGCCGTTTTCAGCCTGTTAACTTAGAATAATTGTCACTGTACCGTCGATAGTTCAAATATTGTTAAGTCAGTAAAAAATTTAGTATATTTTCAGTTTGCAGAAAGTTGTAGTATGATAAATTACCCATAACAATATTTTAGGTGGAGAGCTTTTTTATGAGAGAGAAGGAGGAGAGGAGAAGATTTTTTTTGGAGAGATAATTGTAATAATTAATATACTTAATTATTTAGACAATGTAAGCCCAATGTGACATTGCTACATAAACGAATTGATAACTTACATACTTTTAGGAAGTTGATAAGGTTTTTGTAACAAAAAGCCCTCTTGATTTTAAAGACTTTAAAAATATAAAGATTTTGATCCTTTTATTTATAAAAGCTTTTATACAAGTATCGTTAAAGAGTGAAACTAATAAAACTTGAATTAAAGATGAAACGGTAAGTATTTCCGTCGAAGTGCTTAACCTGTTTTGTTACTAGAATACTAAAATAAGCCCGTGATACTACTACCAATTTGTTTTAAGTATATTTAAGTCCTGAAAATGATAAAATACAAATAGATGAAAAAATTCTAATAGGTGACTTTTTAGGATCAATAAATTTAGTCAAGTGGGTTTTTTCGATTTAATTTAGTTTAATAAATTGTATAGCAAACAAAAAAGTTCAATAAAAACATTGTCATTTCCCAATTGAAGTTTAATTATTATTTTCTTTGTGAATTACATCTAATATTTAGAGGATTTGCTAGGACAATATGTTACAAGGAAAATGTTGTGCGTTAGCATGGCTCCGAATTACCGCATAGTACGACATAATACTAGTGGCTTATCTAACCGGACACATGAGGGAAAAAATAACGTCACGCCGCTTACGAGAGAAAAGGGAAATGTTTAATTAAAAAAGAAAAAAAAAGAAGTTAATTGCGTTATTAAATATAGCTATTGTTAGATTTGGAGCTATTTTATTACAAGTATTATCTGTCATACTAATATTGTAAATGCGAAAGTTTAGATGGATGGATGGACGAATGGATGTTTGTTAGAGTTTGTAGCCTAAACGGCTGAACAGATTTCGGTGAGATTTAGGATAGACGTAGAACACATAGGCTACATACTTTTTTTTTTTAAATCCTACGCGGACGGAGTCGCGAGCGAAATCTACTTCTTAATAAAAAAAACTTTTTCACGATGTATTTGTCTATATAAAGTAGAAAGGTAACTGTGCGCTTATTTCTGTAAATATTTTATGCTAATAGACATTTAATAATCTCTTAGTATCTTGAATTTGGCGTCTGATGTTATAACCTTAAGTTTTTCTTAGAATGTCCCATTACACAAAAAGCAGGAGCTTATTATATTAGTATCTCTCTGTCCCAGACTGGCGCACAAAGTTGAAAACTACTACACCTAATGGTTTTGAGAACATTAGCGCTAATGGGAATTGGTAAACAAATTTACATACAAATTGCCCTCACTGAGTTGATCTCGTTCAATTGATTGAACACACCTAACAAACATTAATTTCTCATCATCGTTTCGGTTAGTTTCAGTTGAAAATTTACCAACGCGACTAATTCAAAATGTTTAGTAAAATTATTAGCAATTAACTAGAAAGTAATCGAATTTGACATAAAGTATGAACTTATTTTAAAACATTATTTAATTTTATCTTTTTCGATTTGACCTCATTTAATTATCATCATCATCATCAGCTCATTATACGTTCCCAAGGTGAAGATCAGAGCCATCCCTAAATTAGGCGTTTTATGTCATACTCAACTGCAAGGACACACTCTATTGGTCGACTTCATTCAAGTTATTAACTTATTAATTTAGAAAATTATACTCATGCAAGTCTTTGAATTTATTCGCAGATATGTTTAGGTTTCATCACAATATTTTCCTTCACGTTTTTTTATTTTTATAACAGCTGGCAAACGAGCAAGCGGCCACCTGAATCCGCCAAAATGGCGAAGCGACCGCTGCCCATAGATAACCGCAATTGCAGATGCGTTGCCGACCCTTATACAACAAAGGAGAAGGCGCACATAAAGAGGATATTACCTTAAGAAATTTGGATAAACCTGTTTACATACATTCAAAATTCAAAAATCGAAAAATATTGAGACGAGTATATGGTGGGGATCGAACCTGTATGAGTATGGTCTGGTCCGGGAAATCGGTTAACCACTGCCCAATAGCCTCTGTTTTCATTTAACGATGATTATAAATTACTTTTGTTTTGTTTGACACAGTAAGTTCTTTTTCTTTGTTTTTTTTTTACTCTTTTTCTTTAGTTTTCCTGTCCTTCCTTCCATATAAAGAAACACATCTGGAACATTTTTGTCGCCAAAGGTAATAAATATCATTAGGTTAGCTGATTACTCGTTCGCATTTTGCTGCCATAAAATATCTGAATTATGAAATTCTTTTAATATTTTTCTGCAGCAATAACTTTTTTGCAAAAGTGAATAGCGGGGTGCAAATAATTCTAAATTACGCTGGCAACCTAAGCACGAAATCTTGTTGAGGAAACTTTCAATTTTGCGAAGCGCGGTGCAATTTATGCTTGAAAATATCCCATATTTTCTTTTTAAATTGGAAATAACACTCATGATTTCGTGCACTCTGCGGTGATTAGAATTCATTGTTAAAAAGAAACTTCGGTAAATGGGAGAATATTTTATGAAGAAGAAAAATCATACATTTTAACTAGTCTTACATTTGAGAAATAAATTGTATTTACGAAATTCTAACCTATGAATGTGAAAGAAAACAATTACAAGATAGATAGATATCCAATTACAAGAAAGTATATGTTGTAAAGATTACATCTATAGTAATATAATAAAGCGTAAACATACACTTCATTGTTGCCTAAGATGTCAGCAATCACAGTATATTTTTGAATATTTTTTTTTTAATAAAAAGCCCTCACTTACATCACGCTTTAGGCTATATATTTTCACGCCGTTAAACTTAGGGGTAAATATTTTGGATAAAAACCCTAATGTGGGAAAGAGACTATAAGTTGTTGCCAACATCAAGGAAGGAAGGTTGCCGTGGTTTGATATCATGCTATGTCATTTTGACAACAATAAAATGAAATTTTTATAATTTTATGCGGATGAAGTCGCATGGAAACAGCTAGTTAAGTAACATAGCAGGTACAATTTATATTGAATTAATATAAAAGTTTTCGACGATTGAGTCAATATGCTTAATTACAATTGTCTTTATGATTCCAATTATCCAAGGTGCATAATTATGTAGAGACGAAATCTTAAATCTGCCTTAACCACGCCCTAAAGTGTTGATAAGATTTCGATATTGAAAAGAAAACACAAGTTTAGTTAAAGGGTTTTACGGTTTTTTTTTAAATAATTTACTAGAACATAGATTGTATTTTTTATCATTCATGTAGATGTTAAGGTAATTTAGTTTAATGTTTCCTCAGTAAAGTCCATCAAAATTGTTCCCAAGTACTCCCGATGGTTTAATTATTCATAGTTCTCTCTGTAGACTGTCCAAATTATAAAGTAACTTTAAATTGCTCCAAAGTTATTTTGGCTACTTTGGCTTCGAATAAATTGATTTATTCGCTAAGCTGTGTTATGTACGTCTATTATACTATACATGAAATCTTGCTAATGACGAAATGATGGGGACATAAACCAGAAAGTGTTGAGATTGAATGTGGATGGCTACAAAGGAAGAGGAAGACCGAAGAAAGTATGGATGGATTGTTGAAAGAAGATATGCTTAAGAAAGGAGTGAATTCAGATATGACGGCTGATAGAGATGTATGGAAGAGCAGCACATACTGTGCCGACCCTCCATAAGGGATAAGGGCAAGTGGATGATGATGAAATCTTGCTAAAATTACGCAGTCCTACATAAGCTAGCAATTTCTAGGGAAGTGTCATTACAAGTGTTCTTAATGTATTGCTTCTTATTTGTTAAAGTATTTAAGAAGTTTATATCAAAATTGTCGAAATTAATCTCGGTTTTTGTGTATATTTATAAAAAAACTGCTATCAAATGCAAGAATTATTCTTTATACAGTATTTATATTCATCTTTAAATAACTAAGCTAACATTAACTGTTTAAACAGATCGTTCGTATTAAAATTTGGAGATCCGTTT